GTCATTGAAATATTACAGAAATATTACTGCAGTATTACATACTTATATCATTGAAATATTACACATTTATATCATTGAAATATTACACTTATATATTTGCAATATTATAGTTAAATTATAGCAATATATCATATTCTAAATAGAATGGTGACATCAATTGACATATCAATTTCTTTGACATTATAGACATCATTAAAACATTATTACGGCGTCATTTGAAGTCACTTTGCCTTACAGAAATAGTATTTTTTAAAAGTTTAATTTAAAATTTAATATTTCGATTTGTTTAATTTGGATTTTCTTGCATTTTTTAATTTTTTTTGTTTGGATTAATCATTATAACATTTTGTTAAAAATCTAAAAGTAATTATCACTGGTTCACTACATTACATCAATATTTATCGCATATCGAATGTTGCATTGTTTCAATATCTATCAACAAATTATCCAATAAACAACAAGTAAAACTTATATAACTATTATTTGGTGTTTGTTAGGTATATTATAATATACTGTGAACACTATAAGGATACATTATATAAGCGTGAATTGTAAGAACATCTTTGGAGTCATCAGAGTCACCGCGTGAGCGCTCGATCCGTCACGTTAAGCAACAGGTTTAATGCGGTCAGGAGATGGGGATGGTGACCGATGTTTTTCTACTGCTTGTGGGATCGAAATTATCGCAGGAAGATTCATGAAAGTTTGGAATGTGTTTGACAACCTTCGATATCTAGTAGTTTATGAGACATAAGAAAGTTAGGAATATAAGTATATTTCTGTAAACATTTTGATTTTCTCATTTTTCACCTTCGCATAATAATTCTCAGTATTTGATTACTATCAATATTTAACATTGATTTTATTATCAGTATTCACCAGAAATTAAGTACTGGCCAAAAAATTACAGAATTACTGGTAATATTTAATCACTAATAATTTTTCAGTATTTCTTAGTATGATATTTCTATAAAGGATTCTAGAAACAATTGCCGAAAACTTGGAGAAAATAAAATCTGCTCAAATTGTGGCTCGTCAGATCACTCTGGGCTGCGTTCAAATTCCCTACCCGGGTGCATTCTAATACTAAAAATGCTATAGTATATGTAACATATACTACCCGATGAAAAATTTTTCATGCAAAATTTTGTATGAAATTTGTCCATACATAATTATGTATAATTATATATTATCATATAAAATTATATATAATTATACACAATTATGTATAACAATATGTATAATTACATATAAATTTATGCGTAATTATGTAAAATTGTACATAATTATATATAATTATATATAATTATATATATAAGTAGAATGTATGAACATGAATGGACAAATTTGATACATAATAATATATAATTATATATAATTATATATAATTTTATATAATTATATATAATTATATATAATTTTATATAATTATATATGAAAAATTTTTCATTGGGTATAGTGTTTCTAGTAATAGAATGCACCCGGGTAGGGAATCTAAACGCACCCCTGGGGACTGTTGTATCTCCAATAATATATAAATTTAATAATTATATTAATTGTGAAAGGAAGAAGCTTGCTGATGCCAATCACCAGGCCGATTCACCGAAGTGTCCAATATTTATACATAACCGCCACATCAAAAGGATTATGGCGGTGTATTGTTTGGATCCCATGGATGCGGAAAATTTTATAAGAACTAGTGGTCAAGACGAACCCGCGAAGAAGATTTCTGTTGATCCTCCGCCATCTACTCTCGAATACTTCTGGTTAAAAATAATTCATGCTCCTTCGGCTATATCTTAGGGCTATCGCACACAAATTGACATAACTGCATAC